GGGTTTTAACAAAGACATTCAGTATAAACTAGTTTCAACTAGACAAAATGGGTTTTAACAAAGACATTCAGTATAAACTAGTTTCAACTAGACAAAATGGGTTTTAACAAAGACATTCAGTATAAACTAGTTTCAACTAGTTAAAACGCGTTCTAACTAAAAACGGGTTTTGACTGTAACATATATATTATAAATTAAAAATATGATTAAAAATTGCAGCCTGACATTGTGATGATGTCACAATAAATAATTGCTCATTTTACAGTTTATATCTTTGACAACTTTAGAGTAGATGTTGTGCATCTTCAGCTCAAATTCTAATACAATATTAGCCTGCCCAGTGTCATTATTACAATCTACCAGTTGCCATTTTTCCTCTATGACATGTGATATATTCAAAATCAAAGCAGGGCTATATCCATGTTTTTAGCTATCATCTTAATATACTCCAATTCATGCTGCCTGTCATCCAAGTGGGAGCAGTGTGTTGAAAGTTGCCATTTTGTACCACAAATTGTGTGAAATTGACAGTATTAGCATTGGTAGGTATGCTGGTTTACAGAATATGCTTTTATGTATGCTCATGCCAGCCTGCTCAATCTCCATATCAAGGAAATGGATGTTATTGCTGCTAGATTGATCTAGTAACAGTAATTCTACATGAATTTAACATTCATGTAGAAATTCATGTAGAATGCTCTCTATATCCAGTTTAGTATTCCAAATAATAAAATTGTCTCAACAAACCTGGTATATAATTTCATATGCCTACTGAATTTCCTCAGGGTCTGTTGTTTAATGCCTCTAATGACCAGTTCATAAAGGTCCTTCAATATGGGGCTTCCCATTGTGTGTTCCAATAGGAAACCGATTTTTGCTAATATGTATGATTGTTAAAGGTAAAAAACGAGGAATAAAAGTACATGGGCAAGATCCAAGATTTGATGATGATGTTTATTTGGATTAAGCACAGCTGTGAACAGTATGTCCCTAAGTGCAAAAAAGCAGGGTTCAAGTTTTATAGAAGGAAACATGGTAATAAAGTTCATAATGGTAAAGTGCTAATTGCCGATTATTGAGATAATTTGTAGTCTAGAGATAAGCTTTCCACTGCTTGAAACTGTATATTGATATCTTTTAGGTGCTCCTGGAGAACCCGTTATATTCTATGTTCCACATAGATTGTAAGTGAACTGGCTTTGTCTAATATTGGTCTTATCTGCTGGTAACATTTTTACATAGTTGAACACTGTTGGTAGATTGAGAGATGCCATGTTAGTATACAAGAGGTTCAAAATCTTAGAAGCTGGTGCTTTCTGAATTAGCTAACACTCTATTTCTATCTTCTAGGACTGTTGTCTCTTTCTATTTGATTTTTACTGCTTGCTTTTCATTGCTTCTTCTACAAGGCTAATGATCATTCTATCTAATAATTTTCAATGTGCTTGTTCAATATAATTCTCAGGGTTTGGCTTGTCTCACTTATATAGTTTTTCTGTTAACTCATTTCCTCTTCTAAGGGTAAAAAATAATGAAAAGAGAAAATATAGTATGGAAAAATTTGTATATAAAATAAAAGTAGGAACAATATATAAAAAAGATCCAACAGTTTGGCACTAGCATAGAAAAGATTCATAGAAAAAAGAAAAAAGTACAGGAAATATTAAAAAATTAGATTAGAAGTGATAGAAAGTTTAATAAAATCTAATAAAAGCAAAGTTTTCAAAAATTATCAAATAAATAGAAATAAGATAAAAGTATATGATAAATCATCTGCTGGTAAACTAAAATATTCTTTTCTCTGAAAATAAAACTTAAAAAAGCTAGAAAATACTAGAAATGAAGTTATAAGATATTAATTGTGATATAAAGTTTGCCAATAAAACAGAATAAAAGCAAATTTGAAAAGTTGGAGATTAGTCTTAATTTTATATATACATTCAAAATAATCAACCTTGGAGCTAAACTCAGAAAATCATTTATTTATTTTTAAATGTTTCTGAAAATTGATTTTATCCTCAAAATTAAAAAAAAAATTAATTAAAGTAAAATTACAATCCAGGAAATAGCTCATAAAATGTAATTTAAAACTCATTTTGATCAATTATTATTAAAACTAACAAAAACTTACATTTGCTAAAAGTACTTAAATCAAAGTTAAATTTTTTAATACAGTATATTAATTTCAACTGAAAATAGTTAATAATTTTGGGTTTTTATTCTTTTATAACTCCATTTGATTCAAAGAATTTTTTTAAACAAAACTTTTAACTATACTGTTAAGTATATACTCAAAATATCAATGAAGAATGACAAAACATATAAAAGAGCTAGTATATTCAGAAGTTTTGGTATCACAGAAAAAGGGAAAAATCAAATTAAAATGGTAAAAATATTGGTTTCAAAAAACATAAAGTTATTCATATGTGTAAGGATAGAAAAGTTTCCAAGATGTTAAAAGAAGTCTCTTCCGAAAAGAAATAGTATTGATCTTCTAAGAATGATATTTATTAAAATGTAATTTATATCAGAATAATATTACAGATGAAAATTAACAAAAGGG